TGTTCCTCTCGACAATGGGTTCTCTGAAGACCGAATTCTGGCCAGTGGCTCCTGAGGAAGGGTGCCCTCTGGCACTCCTGGAGTTTCTTTGCTCTGTTGAAGAGACTCACAACCAAGGAGGGGTCTTTGGCTTCCACAGGACATCGTCATGGCGTTAGGTGGTGCTGCAATCTTGGTGGTTGTCTTGAGCAGGAGAGCAGGCTGAAGTTGATTAGACAGAAAGAAACGCTCATCGCCTTGCTGTCTCTGTGGTCCTCCCTGCCGCCCTTGGACAGGGGCAGGTCTCCCCCACTTTGACTGTGTTTTTGTTTTGTTGTTGTTACCCTGAATGATACACACAAAGAATTGGCCGTGGTGACTGGGTGCCAGAGTAAGTCAAAAAGCTTTGCCACAAAATGATAGAAACCTTCATGAAACAGAACTATCCCCAAGGGAAGCTGTTTGTCTCTCAACACGGTCTCCACCGCGATTTGTGCCCTTCTGAAGGCAGCATCTCAATCTCGTTGACCCTTCCCTGGAGATTTCTACGCTCTTCACCGACGCCACATCCCAACGGCAGCTTGGGGTGGTTACGCCTCAGGCTGCTAACTGCAAGGCCTGCAGTTCGAAACCACCAGGTGCTCCTCAGGAGAAAGATGGGGCTTGCTACTCCCACAAAGCATTAGTCTCAGAAATCTATGGGGGCAGTTCTACCCTGTCCTATGGGGTCACTCTGCGTGGGCATCGAGTCGTGGAAGTGAGTTTGGTATTTGGAAGGGACTCAAATTGTGTTTCTTTGAGTTTGGGGAACAAACCAAAAGGCTGAAGAGGGGAGAGCAGGCCTGTAAAGGTGGATGGGGGTAAGGTTTCCCACAGAGAGTCCCCCAGGACAGTCCTGGCCACCCTCCAAGAATGCGCGAGTGCACTGCTGTGGCAGGAATACTCCTCGGCGGACCTTGCCTGGCCTTTCCCTCGCAGTTTTCCCTCGTGGTTTTCAGTTGTATGAAACGTCTGTACTGAGCCCTGTGATCATCCTTTGAGAAAATCCCCTAAAAGTAGCACTTTGGAGTCTCCCCAAAAAGAAATCACCGTCACCTCAGAGCTGACCGCTCTGCCTTGAATTTCACGAGCAAATCCCTGGGCAACTACTGCTTTGGTTGGACCTTATTGTTTTTATTATTACTACTGTTATTTTTCAGGCACCCTAGCAAGACTAGGACCAATGTGTTCCAGCGGGAACTTGTCTGCGGCCCTCCACTGGTGGCGGAGACGCGTTTAGATATGTTCTGTTCGGAATAAACTCGTGGCCATATGAACGGGAACCCCAGGAGCATGGCTTGTCCACTTGCCCTGCTGGCAGAGCGCAGGGTCGGGCTTTGAGTCCCGATGGAGCATGAGCCCTTAGTGAGCCTTGAGGGCCAGGGTGGGTGGCAATGATCTTTATGGACCTAAGGCACCAGGGAGACACTCCGTGGGTGCTTGTTGAAAAGCACCCTTTCATCTTGGCACCGTCTCCTGAGAGCAACGGCGCCGGCCTGTTTTCCGGCCCTCAGTCTTGTCTGGCCTGTTTGTTTTTGTTTATTTGGATCTAAATCAAGGGCCCAAGCCTTCTTTAATCATGGTGTGGACCAGCCTCTCTCAAGGGTTAGCGTCAAACCAGGTATAAGAGTCATATCCTAAAAAAAACCCCACAAAGATTCATATCCTGCCTCCCACTTGTATGTTGTAACTCCATCTGAAAAGTAGCCTGCACCCCACACCCAGTTCTCCGGCACCTCACCTGGGCTGTTTCTCATGAATTCAGGTTCCAACTGTCTTCACACTTCTTCCCAATAAGCAGTGGGTGACGACATGGGTGTTGGGGTGTCGGGGAAGGGGCTCGGGCTTTGTTGGAGTCACTTGTGTTGGGAAGACACCACTTAGGCATTGCACCCAAGGTGTCCTCCCTGCTCCACCGCCCGGAGCTGCTCTTCCCTTGTTCTGTTGAGCTGGGTGGAACCTGACGGCGTCCCCCCACCCCCCTTGGAGTTTCTCTAGGAACTTGGATCAAACTCGAGCCCCATCTCTCTTGGTGGGGCCGGGGTCCCCCTCCATAGGTCCGTGGTGCTGAGTTTTGACTTCGTCTCTTGGGACCTCTCCCACCTCCCTGTTGTGTGTCTGTCCACATCCCCAAGACCAGCCTTCTCCTTCCTCAGCAGTCACCAGCAACCAGGGATCCCCTTTTGCCCCAACACCTCAGCTTCCTCCTGGGCCCAGTAGAGGGGGGTTGATTTGCCCTCCCTGCTTCTGGCACGATGGGAGAAATGTGATACGGCATTGGGGTGGGGTTCTCATGCCAGCCTGTGGCTGGTGTTGGCAAGATCTAGAAGCCTCGGCCTGGGCGCTGTGGGAAGGGGATGGACAAACTTTTCCATTTGCACCTATCCCTTAGCTCCTGCCCCGACCCTCTGTGAGGCCAGTGGTCAGACAGCTATGGCGTCAAATGCCCAAGGACCAGGTGGGAGTGTGGCCAGCTGAGGCGCAATACGCAGAGGGACAGCCTAAGAGGCGCCTCAAACTCCGCTCAGATACGGTCCGAGGTTGAGAGTCCCGAGGCTTGAACCGCCAGCCGACACGTTGTCCCTGGGGTTCTTCAGGCCCTAGCACCCCCGCCCCCTCACTGGAGGGAGCCAGAGCCACACACTTGGAAAGCAGTTTAGCCTCAGGGGACCTGTGAGTCTGGCCCCACCGGCATCTCTGTCCCATGTCACCCTCTGCAAAGAGCTACCACCTGAAGTTGGGATTCCAGTTGGGAATGCGGGTCCAATAGGGGAGGCCGGTTCTCTGGCTGAGAGATGTCCCCTAGCCTCCGTTTCCACATCAGTGAAATGAGGACAGTTACCCCAACTCCCCAGATCCCCACCTGCCGAGAAGACGTCCCACGGTGTTCCCGTTTGCTTAGCCCCGCCGTCGGATCGCACTGCAGAATCGCTGAAACGTTTGCGGGAATAGAAACGTCAACAAGATGCACTGGCTGGTGCTGCGGGGGGAGCCTGTAGGGTGCAACCCGTGAGCCCTGGAGCGTCTGGGAGAAGTGACCTCTGTAGGGTTTTCCAAGGCTGTTTTGTTTGTCCTCTCCCGCCCCCGATTGATCCCCAGCGTCTTTGGGTAGACTCGAAACATCAACCTTTTGGCTCAAAGCTGAGTGTGTTAACTGCTGGCTTGTACCACCCACTGAAGTCTCCACATTTCCTCCTTTTGTGGTAACCGTGGGGAGACCCCTGCACTCCTGTTCCTGGTCCACGGCTCTGGCTACATCCTGGGTGCCGGGATGGTGGTCGGGACTGGTGGAGGAAGGAATTGGCAATGTGCAAGGACTCGTTAAGATCCCAGCCATGAGTTCTGCAAGGGACCTTCTGATGTGGTTTCCAGCTGGGGCCTGGCCCGTGTGGGCCGGGCCTGCACTCTCTGTTTGGCCTGGATTCTTGTGCCTTGAAGTTGGTGAAGAGCAAGTTGGCTAGCTGGGACGCCTAGCTGGCTTGACCCAGGAGCTCCCCCTATACCCCCCAACTCCTCCTAGGCCCGGGTCCAACCCTGCAGGCCTCAGTGGCCCTTGCTCCAGCCAGTCTGGCCCCGAAAGATGGCATGTCTTTGGTGGGTGCCTGCTGAGCAGGCTGCAGTGCATACCAGCCCTGCCTCCCCCCACATGCTTCTGTGGATGAAGTCATTGCTGGCTCGTCGGCTGCTGGCATGGGCCCAGGTGGACACACCATGCCCAGAGCTCACCAGGGCTACGGACGGGCGGTGCTGAGCTCCAGCGTCCCCTGCACCCTGGCCTCAGATGACCCCGAGGGGAAGGAAGGGTCACCCGGGGAGAAAGGCTCCACCCAGTCCGGGGGGCAGGGCTGGCAGGCACAGACCACCTTGTGGGGCTTGGTTGGTGGGTTTCACACTTGGGGTTTGCATAGCCTGCACTACCCGTGCTGGGATCCTTGAATGGGGCCAAGGTTAATGCCCACTGCCGAGGTGCCTCAGAAGAAAGGCTGGCCGTCTGACAACTCAGCTTGGGCCTGCGAGGGGTTTCCCGGGTCTCAGTCCAGTGGACCGTCACCTGCTTTAAAAAACACAGGACACATTCTCCCTGATCGTTTCACAGGTTAAATTCTCACCGGGGGCCACAGAGATGCACTCTGTCAGGTCCTGTCTCACAAATGAGGAAACTCAAGTTCAGCATGGTGGTCATCTCAGGCCAACAGCCTGGCCCGAGTCTGTGGCCCTGACCCTGGGTCCACGTGATGGGGGGTCTGGCGGCCAGGGAGGTGGCACAGCTCAGCGAGCCCGGGCTCAGCAGTCCCAGCTGTAAATGCGGGCTGCTCAGGCCACCCTGTGCCTTCCTTCCGAGCTTCCTCTCCTGATAGGTGGGCAGTGCTTGGGCTGGTGTCTGGCTTTATTCCAGGCAAAGGAGAGGCTCAAAGCATCACCGGCTCCCACCCCGCCGGCCCACCTCTTCCTTTCTGAGGAGGGCGGCCATGGGACTCTTGGGCTGTAGTCACAGGAGGGCTGGGTCCGGCCGGTGTTGTTCAGGGCAGCTGCTTCCTTGGCCCTCAAACAATGGCTGCAGGCACTTGGGAGGGAAGGAAAGAGGTTGTGTGCGTGCGTGCATGTGTGTAGTGTCTGAAGCCAGCATGGGGCATGGGGAAGGCCCACGTACTCCTGAGCTGGCTTTATTTGGTCCCCTGTGTTTTGAGGTACAGTACCCAGCTTAGCTGGGCCTTCACCAGGCCTTGTGAGCCAGGGCGTCCCGGCTAGTTGCCACCCAGTCTGGGGCACGGGTGGCTGGTCGAGGTTTCCTCAGGAAAGGGGGAAGCAGCCTGTTTGTGAGGTCTTGTATCTCGGCGTCCTGGGGTGGCTTGCTCTCACCCCCATGCATACCGCCCCCTGCTGTTGATCGCCCACCTGGCACAGGCATGGCCCCACAGTGGGTGCTATCTCAGTTGCTCAGGGGCTGATCTTTCAGACATGACACTGGCTTTTCTTCCCAGGCGCCTCTGGGCGGGACACAAGCCTCCAACCTTCTGGTGAGCAGCGAGCGCTTTCTGCCGTTGTCACCGCCCAGGACTGGGAAGGGTGGCGTGACTGGGCCCTTGGGCGAGCCTGTCCTTGGGAGCGGTCTGTGGCCGGTGTGGCGTTCCGGGCTCTGCGTGGGTGCATGTGGCTGAACTGACCAGTGTCCATGGCGGCCCCGTGTTGTTCGCAGAACAAGCTGCCCATCCTACTGCTGGGCCGCTCCTCGGAGCTGCGGCCAGGAGAGTTTGTGGTCGCCATTGGAAGCCCGTTTTCCCTGCAAAACACCGTCACCACCGGCATCGTCAGCACCACCCAGCGAGGTGGCAAGGAGCTGGGGCTGCGGAACTCGGACATGGACTACATCCAGACGGACGCCATCATCAATGTGAGCCGCTTCCGGCCGGGTGGGGACAGGAGGTGGAAGGTGGGGGGGGCAGGCTCGGTTCCAAGGGGGCCTGTGCAGAGCCAGGCAGGCTGGGCTCCGTCGTCACCAGCTGGCCACCACTGGGCGTGCCTTTAAAGGGGGCCTTGAGTATGTGTGTGTGTTTTAGTGACTGTGTGACTGAGTGTGTGTGTGTGTGTGAAAGTCTTTGTGTACGTGAGTGAGAGTGTATGTAAGTGTGTGTGTGAGTATATGAGTATGTGTGTGAATGTGTATGTGAGCGTATGTGTGAATGTGTTAGTGTGTGAATGCATGTGTGAATGTGTATGTCTGTATGTGTGAGTGTGTGTAACTGTGTGTGGGAGTATGTGTGAGTAACTCAGTGTGTGAATATGTGTGTGCGCGCGAGTGTATATGAGAGTGTGACTGAGTGAACATGTGAGTATGTGGTATCTATGTATCTGTGTGTATGTATGTATGTGCGTGTATATGTGACTATGTGTATGTGGTATGTGTATGTGTGTGAGTGTAGGCATGTGTGATTGTATGTGTGTGAATGTGAGTGTTTATGTGTCTGTGTATGTGTGTATGTGGTGTGAGTATATGTGTGTGTGAGTATGTGTATATGTGACAGTGACTGAGTGAGCGTGTGAGAATGTGTGTATGTGGTGTGAATTTATGTGTGTGTGTGTGTGTATGTGTGTTAGCGTGTATTTGTGTGTATGTGTGTGTGAGTGTGACTGAGTGAGCATGTGAGAATGTATGTGTATGTGGTGTGTGTGTGTGTATATATATACATGTGTGTGAGTGTTTATGTCTGTGTGAGTGTGAGTATGTGTGTGTTTGGGGCACTGGTGATGTTGTGGTAGGACCTTACTCTCTAAGGAGCAAGTCAAGGCTCAATCACAAGCAGGTATACTTCGTGGGCAGCCACCACCCACCTGTCACCGAAGACGTGTGTGAGGCTATGAGGCTGAGTGGTGTCAGTGGAGAGTCCAGACTAAGAGTAGGAAGAAAGGCCTGGTGTCCCCCTTTGGAAAACCAGCCAATGAAAACCCTGTGACTCACAAGGGCACAGTCCCACTCTGCATGGGCCTGCTGTGTGTCAGGGGCCAACCCAGTGGGCGCTCACAGAGCGAGTGGCAATGCCCTGACTTCCAGCCCAGCTGACGAGGGAGACAGGGTAAGGTTGGGTAGATCGGGGTTTTCAGGCAGCCTCTGATAGCAAAAAAACCCCCAAACCCACCCCAAACCCAAACCACTTATGACATGTTCAAGGGCCTCTTTTCCAGCAACATAGTAGGTTGGCAGGCAGGAAGGGGTCTCTGGGAAAGAATCAGCCCCCCTACTCCGGGTATCATGCCCCCAGGTGGACCAGGCAGGAGGTAGCTGGTTCGGCTGTGTGTAAGGACAGAAGAAAGGCCCTAACTTTCCCCTCTGCTTCCTTTCAGTATGGAAACTCGGGAGGCCCGCTGGTGAACCTGGTAAGGCCCGCCTGGCTTCCGCGTCTCTCCTCATCTCCGTGTGCCCGTCTTCCTGTGGCTTCGTCTTTCCAAACACTCGCCAACAGCAGCACCCTGCTGCCTCTCGCAGGTCGCCCTTGCGAGGCAGGCAGGGGCAAAGGGTGGAAGGAGCAGCCAGTGGGCACCGGGGGATGCAGAGGCCATGTCATCCCACAGGCCTGGGCTGGACCAGGCCTAAAGGGCGGGGGTGGGGTGGTGGTCTTGCTCTCGTGGGGGGTGGCAGGAGTGCAGCTGGCCCCTGGCTCTGTGGGTTCCACCACCCACTTTCTCTTGCCAAGGCCCCCTGAGCGCATGGCTGGGCACGGCATGTGTTTTCACAGCCCACAAAGCTGCCACTTGAATCTCCACTGAACTTCTTGTGTGCAGAACATGTAGTCTTGGAACTGAAGCATTCTGGGTGGGGACGGGCTGGGGTCGGGGTGTCATTTCCAGATAATAAAGCGGAGGCCAGACACGTACTGGACTCAGCTGTCATGAGCCACACCTCTTGGAACGTGGCTGGTGTCCAGGGATGGAAAGCCAGTGCCTCGGACAACTGTGTGGGGAGGGACTTGTCGTGTGTCTGTGTCTGACAGGGTCACCGTGGGATCCAGGCGGCTGTCTGCAGTTGGGACACCCTGTAGGCCCCCTTCCTCTGATTTTAAAGCCCCTGGGTGAGCTGAGGAAGCTTGGTGGGTGGGTGCTACCTGCTCTGTGCCCCCTACCTCCACCCCTGGCCCCTGACCCCCAGCATGTCCATGGGGACGTCCGCTAAGAGAGACTGTGCATTCCTGGTGTGGAGCTCGGGCACTTCCAAGCGCATCAAAGGTTCCTCCCAGTATCAGCAGATGAGTCCAGCCGTCTGGAAATGGGAGAAGCAGGAAAGACAGACGGTGTTGAAAGGCCTGGCTGAGCTTGCGGGCCGCCAAGATGTCAGAAATGCAGAGAGCCCGGGCAGCACAGTGGTCCGAGAGATCAGCAGACAGCCCACCCAGCAGCGCTTGGGAGAAAGGCCTAGTGATCTGGGCCCATAAAGATGGCAGCCTCTGAAGCCCCTGGGGCAACTCTACTCCGTCACCGGGCTCTCTCTGATCGGTATCTGGCTGGCTGGCACCAAGCAGCACCAGCAGACCCTGGTGGGAGCCGTGAGCACCTGTGTCTTTATTGGATGCTGCGCAGGTGGCCCAGGAGCCCTGGTGGCATGTGGTTCTGAGTTGGGTTGTGATCCGCTTCAACAGCAGTTGGAAACCGCCAGCCCCTCCGAGGGAGAAAGACGGGCTTCCTACTGCCTCCGAGAGTTATCATCTCAGAAGCTCACAGGGGCAGTTCCGCCCTGTGCTGTGGGGTCGCTGTGAGCCGGCATGGACGCACTGGCAGAGGGTGTGTCTGGGCCACACTCAGATCCTCCTTTCTCCTGGACGTCCGTCCTCCAGGCGGCTTCCGGCGTAGGTAAGCCACGCGTCCTCTCCTCTTGCAGGATGGTGAAGTGATCGGAATCAACACCCTGAAAGTGACCGCTGGCATCTCCTTTGCCATCCCGTCGGATAAAATCAAGAAGTTCCTCACGGAGTCCCATGACAGACAGGCCAAGGGTAAGGATGGGGGCACACGCCTGCAGGGGATTCAAGCGCCTCGGGCCTGAGCCCCGGTCGCCCCTCAGGGACCCAGGGAAGGAAGACATGACAGCCCCGAAGACTGGTCAGGTTAGGCGCTGGGCTGTTGACCTCAAGGCTGGCAGTACAAACCCACCAGCTGATTCTGGGAGAAAGATGAGGCTTCCTGCTCCCGTAAAGATTGACAGCCTCGGACACCCTAGGGAGCAGCTCTACTCTAGCCCGTAAGGTTGCTACGAGTCCCAATCAAGTCGTTGGCCGTGGGCTTGGCGTAGGCTTTGATTCTATGCAGATGTGGTGGTCAGCTTCCTTTTAAGATTTCTGCTCCGTCCCGTAGGGTCACTCTGACTTGGAGGCGATTTGCCAGCAGTGAGGAAGGTCAGCCACGCTGTCGCCATGGCCTTAGGTTGTAGGCATTTGACTGGGGCCTGTGATCAGGAAATCGATCTCAGATGTACCCGACAGAGCCTCGGTGATTGCCAAACCCCGGGCCGCTAATTATTGGGGTGTGTCCTCTCAGGGTGATACCCGGGCACTTGCTGAGACCCATATCCAGACTGCTCAGACACTCTCGGCAGCTGCTCAGAGCCCGGAGCGGGGTCAGCTGGAGGCAGGACCACACGGACGCTTGCACATGTGACCTTTAGATTCCACCCTGAGCAACAGGCAATAGACCGGTGGGCAAAGGCCACACAGGATGGTGGGGCAGGAGTGATGGGAGGGGCGGGAGTAGAAACAGTGTGGTTGTGCAAGGCTGAGGGGGACAGAGCCAGCAGGCCAACGGGCAGTGGCGAGGAATGCGGGGCCAGAGTCACCGGGGAAGCATCAGCTTAGTGCTACGAGGAGCGGCGTGTGACCAAGGACAGTGGGTTTGCGGTCACATACGTGAGGGTGGGACAGAGAGGGGCTGAGGGCAGCAGGGATTGGAGGAGCGGACTGAGGGCCAAAGTGGTCCAAGGTAAAAGGGCTGATGTAATTTTAACCACACTGAGATCTGATGGACCTCTTTGGAGGACCACTCTGGGTGCTAGGTGGAGAGTGGACCAGAGGGCATGGGTGGACACCAACTAAGAGGCTCTCTCTGACATCCCGGCAATAGACGCTGGTGGCTCAGAGCTCGGGGTGGCCATGTAGGTGGGGGACAGGGGTTATATCCCAGCTATTTGGGGCATGGGCCCGGCATAGGGATGGGTCAGACTTGAGGGGGAGACACAGGCCCAGGGACTCCTCCTAGGACTGGGGCCCATCATTGAAATGACGGGCCTTTCCCAAGATCCCAGGGGCGGGGTCAGGGGTCAGGACTATGATTTGAATCTTTCCTGTGACTCCGACTCTTGGATGTCTCTGTCAGCACCCACCCCTCCCCAACCCCACTCTCTGTTGTTCCTTTGTCATCACACCAGGAAAAGCCTTCACCAAGAAGAAGTACATCGGCATCCGCATGATGTCGCTCACGACCAGGTGGGTAAGGGGGGTGAGGCTCGGGCTGTGCCTCTGCTTTACCCCGAGATCAACTTCCCCTCGGAAGGCTCTCGCTGCCCCCACCGCAGGGCAACTCTCAGAACTCACCAGGTGCCAGTTGCCCTTAGGTGCCGCCACCCAGGCAGTACCACCGACCACCTCATCACCCCCCAGGAAAGCCCCGAACCCACTCACCATCACTCCCCATTCCCTTCCCTCCTCTGGCCCTGGCAGCGAATCTATTTGTTGTCTCGGTAGATTTGCCTTTTCTGGGGGCCCTTATTTTAACGGAATCCTACAATCTGCGCTCCTCTCTCACTGCGCACAATGCCCTCCAGCGCCGTTCAGGACCGGGCTGGCTGCCTTTCTCTGGTGGAGCAAAGACTCCGAGGTCCGGCCATGCCACGTGTTGCTTATCTGCTGGTCCTTTGCGGGCTCAGCCCTTCGGCTATGGGAGGGGTGCTGCTGTGCACTTGGGGTGCGCTTCCCTGACTCTGTCCTAGCTTCTAGCCCTGGGGGCAACATCTCTAGGAGGGAAATTGCTGAGTAGGGGTAAGTCTGGGGGAACGTTTTGAGGGGCTGCTTGACCTAGCATTTTGAGACAGCTACCTGTTTCCGCAGAGGCACCCTCTTGGAGGATTCTGCCTCACTCTATGCAGGCCAGGTGGGGTCGGGGGCATGTCCTGGGGTCCCCTGGCCTTCCTTTCGTCCCCTGTGCGGTTGAAGGCCATACTCTGTGAGGGGCCCCCCTGCCCTGAGCTCTGGCTAGCGGGCTGCAGCCCTGGGGACAGGCCCCGTCAGTCAGGCCCCATGTGAGGAAGAAGAGCAGGTAGAAGTTACAGCATGTACCTGGCAGGCTCCGAACATGCTGGTGTTTTTATCACTGATGAAAAACAGAGCGGTGTCTTCTCACGCGAGCCCGTAACTCAGGGCATGATGGGAAATGCCGTCGCATGCCAGAAGCACGAACAGGAAGCACGTGCAGGAACTGATTTTAGACACAGCCCATGGGCGGTGATTTGCCAAGACCGAAATATGTTTGGAAACCAGAGAAAGAAGGGTGTAAGGAAAGCACAGGTCCGGCTCCCTGCGTTCTTGTCTCAGCTCTGTGACTTCCCTGGCTGGTGACCATGGCCTGGGGGCCCCTTGAACTGCGGGTGCCTTAGCTGCTTCTCCACCAGGAGGAGGACAGTGGACATGGGTTCCGGCGAATCCACATGGACCCTGGCTCGGGTCAGTGAGGGGAGGAAAGGCTCACGAGTCACCTTGACATTGACCAGAGATTGTCACGTGGCTGCTCCACACCGAGCCTTGGGCCAGGTCTAGGGCCAACTGAGCCGAAAGCAACCCCACTTTGCAGGTCAAAAAGCTGACGCAGAGTTGAAGCAACCACCTACGATTACACTGCTAGAAGTTGGCAGGGGTTGGACTCAGGACCGGCCAGTCATGATACTGTGTCACCCTGTGAAGTGTTGTTAAGTGCCGATGAGTCCCCTCTGTGCCATCGAGTCAGCCTGACTCATGGTGGACTGACGTACCACAGACCCAGAGCTGTCCAGTCCTGCGCCCTCTGCACCACTGTGGCCATGCTGCAGCCACGGTGTCCCTCTGCCTCCCGGGGGTCTCCCTCCTTTTCCACGACCCTCTGCTGCAGCAAGCACAAAGTCCTTCTCCAGGTGCCGGCCTCTCCCCACCACATCTCCAAAGTGCCCTTGACCACATCCTTGTCTCTGAGGAGCGCTCTGGCCATACTTCTTCCAAGACAGATGGGTTTGTTCTTTTGGCAGTCCATAGTATTTCCAATAATTTTCACCAACACCTTAATTCAAATGCCTCCATTCCTCTTTGGTCTTCCAAATTCATTGTCTAGCTTCCACACACATGGGAGGTGATTGGAAGTACCACGGCTTGTATGTGGGAGCTACTACTCATTCATTCAGAAGAAGATTGGCCAAGTACTGCCATCCTTACTGCCAATCTTACATCCAATCTCTTACTGCCATCCATCCCATCAGCCTTTGACTCTAGGAGCCAGGAGATTCTGTAAGGCAGAATTCAAGCTCCTGGAGGAGCTATATGGTAGAAGTGGGGGCAGGCAGGGAGTGGGGTGAGTGTCCTTGCAGCTAAGCTGAGGGAGGCACATGGTTATGTAATGCTCCTTAACACGGGCGCCGTTTCTCCCGAGCAGCAAGGCCAAAGAGCTGAAGGATAGTCATCGAGACTTCCCTGACGTGCTCTCGGGCGCATACATCATTGAAGTCATTCCTGACACCCCTGCAGAAGCGTGAGTTGGAGGGGTGCCCCCCTTTCCTGATACCTGCGTGTTTCCCAGGGGAGTGGTGGTGGCGGGGAGCAGTGTTGGTTTTCCATTCGCTCAGGTGGGTGGGTTGGTCCCTGAGCATGGTGGTGGGGTGGCGGGACATCTCTTGTCAAGTCCTGCTGGCCAGGTCCTGCTGATGGGTTCAGTTCAGGCCCCGCTTCCCAAGGATCTGCCCTGTTCCTGCAGCCAGACTTAGATATGATCCAGCCTGGGTGGCAGAGGGGCCGATATACGGGACACCCTAAAGCATCTTCGCATGCTGGGATTGGAAGTGAAGTGTGCTAGCCCAGACTTCTCTGTTGCAATTGCTCAAAAGGAGTATTATTTTGATAAAAATTCAGGTGGAGAGCTTCGAGACACACACACACACACACACACACACACACACACACACACACTGTTAACTGTCTACAGACAGAGTTGGTCCCGTGTGCTACATGGCTTTTGTTTGGGGGGAATGGACCTTGCAAATTGTCAGTGGAGCAGAACTGTTCAGAACCAGTCCTGTTTTCACCCCCCATCGGGAGTTCCTAACTTCTCAAACTAAAGCACCGAATGGAAAATAACAGCAACAACCAAAGGCCTCTCTTCACTGCACTCACCCAAGTGCCAAGGGAAGTAGCAGACCCACAGCGTGTCTCTGGGAGAAGTGGGCCTGGGTTTAGGAGGGTCCCTGTGACCTTGGGGAATTGGTTCCATCCTAGGGTTTGGATCCAATGTTAGGCTGTCCCCTCCTCCTGCCCAACCCAACCCAAATCCACTGCCACCGAGTTGGTGCTGATCAGAGCCTCTCTCTACAGGGTTTTGAGATGAAAGCTTTATGGGAGCAGAGCACTTCATCTGTTTCCCACAGAGCAGCTGGTGGGTTTGAACCACTGACCTTACAGTTAGCAGCACAACGCCCAACCCACTTCTCTACTTATGTGGCTATCAGCCCCCACCTGTCAAGTCCTGTAGAAAAACAACTCTAGGGTAGCATCAAAAGGCACCATGTGAAGTAGCTTGGCCATGAGTCAATGCCCGTAACCTGTACTGACTTCATATGCTGAGAGTCATGACAGACCAGAGCCCTTGGGCAGCACAGTGACTTGGCAGTGAGCCTGGCTGCTAATATTAAGGTTGGAAGTTCTAGTTTGACCAGAATTGCCTTGGAAGAAAGGCCTGGGGATCTACTTCAAAACAAAACCGAAAAACAGGCATTGACAACCCTGCACAGCTGGGTTGCTGTGTCAGCATGGAGTTGTGGAAGCTAGTTGATCATTAGTGCTAGACCAGGAGGTCAAACCTTGCTCTCTGGGGGCTGGCCCTGGCTCTCATCTGCTTTGGTACAGAGCACAAGCTAAGAATGGTTTTTACAATCGTTATACAGTTGGGGGGAAATCAACAGGAGAATAATACTTTGCTGTCCATGAAAATGGTATAACTCAATGCCGTCTAGTCCATACCCTATAGGATAGGGTAGAATGGCCCCGTGAGTTTCAGAGACTGTAACTCTTTATGGGAGCAAAAGCCCCGTCTTTCTCCCGAGGGGCTGCTGGTGGTTTTGAACCGCTGACCTTATTGACCACAGTCCAGCTTGTAACCACTGTGCCACCAGGGCTCCTCTGAATGTGGTCTTCAAATGTCTGTGTCCATAAGTCACGTGGCATCGGCACACAGCCACACCTGTTTGTTTGCAAGCATTCGGTCTCTGGCTGATTTGATGGTGCAGTGGCTGAGTTGCAGAAGAGACCTTTAGCTGTTTACTCTCTGGTCCTGTACGGAGAACGCTTGCTGATCCCTGCCCTAGACCATGAAGGCATCGTAGCTGATGCTGTTATACACAGGAGGCAACTCCCCATGCGAGGAAGGGCCTCATTTGAGAAGTAGTCTGCCCATCCCTGCAGGAACCGCGCTCTGACTACTCACTGCTCACAAACACCTTGGCTGGACCCATACCAGGCTGGTGCATGGTGCATCCTTGGGGTAAATCTGGCACCAGCCTGCATTTGACACAAGGGGTGACTTTTTTACCTGAGTATCTCCAAGGGAAACAGCCTACTGCAGTGTGGTTCAAAGCATTTCACGTCACTGCCCCACCACCCCGCTGGCCTGCTCTGAGCTGGGAGATGCTGCACAGCCTATGGGGGAGGTCTTGCTGGCAGGCACTGACTGATGACAATCCTGTGTCCCCTTGTGTTGCAGCGGCGGCCTCAAGGAAAACGATGTCATTATCAGCATCAACGGACAGCCGGTGGGCTCTGCCAATGATGTCAGTGACGTCATCAAAAAGGAAAGCCCCCTGAACATGGTGGTCCGCAGGGGCAACGAAGACATTATGATTACAGTGGTCCCCGAAGAAATCGACCCCTAGGCAGAGGCATGAGCTGGACTTCATGTTTCCCTCTGAGACCATCCGGTGGACGACACATGAGGACTCTGGGCCGGTGGCACAGGCCGCCCAAGACCTTTGGCCACCATGTGCTTTGTTGTTCATTGGAGACCCTCTTGGCCAACAAGCCTTCCCGATAGTTTGCGGGTAAAACCCATGTAACGCTGCAGCTCCGCCAGCAGAGGCCTCTCTCCTCCCGTAGCCTATGTATGCAGTGTGCTTTTCTTGCCAGCTAGGTCGGCCCCCTGCTTAGACAGTCAGTCCTGGTCTCCATCTATCAGCGAGACACCCGCTCAGCCCCACTAATACCAATGACAGGAGATGGGGGTGGCTCACGTAGCCAGAACAGTATAGGGCGGGTGTCTGCTTTCTCCAGAGGAGGTTGAGGGGTGGAGACCCTGTGCAGGTGGACGACAGCTTCCAGCGAGGCCAGTTGCCCCGATTAGGGGTCTCTGTGGATCTGGGAGAGCAATGGCCTTTGAGTTTGAGCTATTAAAATACTTGTTTATACCTCGTTCCCTGGCACACGCCCTTTCCTTTCTCGTCAAAAGCTGGTGGCAGCTTTCTTTCTTAAGTCATAGTTCATTGTGTCTTTGGTGAAAGTGTTTACACCGCACATGACAACCACACAAGTTGTTCAGTGGTATTGGTTACCTTGTGTCACAGTGTGTCGCCGTTCTCATGACACCCATACCTCCTTGCTTATCGACAGGGTGAGGTTCCAAAGACCAGGTTGTTAGGCAGATGTTGGTGTTGGGCAAAAATAGAGGATGATTACGTCAGATGGAAACATGGAGGATAGCCACATCATCGCACACAATTGCCAAATTATAGCACGACAGAAGTGCCTAATCGCGAACAAGCATGGTCAAGTTGACACATAACCGTAACCATCCCAGCCAATGTTACTCTCGCCTCAGACCCGGGCATTGATGACTGCCAGATTTTTGTTGTTAATGTGTAAAATAAATTTGATTTCTTTCTTTCTTTTTGACTCTGACCAGAAATATGAAATGCCAGATGAGATAGCTGAGAAGGGAGAGCTGGTGTCTCTCCATTCTGTGCGTCTCCTTTCTAGTAAGCTAGTTGCTTGGCCTCTTTACCTTCTTATCTTTGCTTGAAAGGAACTGTTGACCACCATTTTGTAAATGTCCAAAGGGCTTGGTGGCTATATTTTTTTATTGAGTTAGTCAACCAGTTACTAGTGAAAGGTGCCCTCGGGATCATCCTGGTCGGGTGTCACATTTGTGAAATGATCACGTTAAACCTTGCTGTCTGGGCAGGGCTGCACTCTCGGCCTTGCCTGTGATTTCAAGACCATCCTCTGGGCCTTTCCCAGTGTTAATCCCTGCGGTTGGTCACCACCCTGACTTTGGAATGGGAGATTTAAGGACAATTGCATTTGCATCTCTCCCCGAGTATCAGCTAACCAACGGCCGCCAGAGGCTGAGGAGAAAGGTCTGGCAACCTGATTCCGCAAGATCTGTTATTGGATGCATTCTGCAGCCTCATTCTACCACAGCACACTTGCAGCCTCGTTCTACCACGACACACCTGCAGCCTCGTTCCACCACGACACACCTGCAGCCTCGTTCTACCACGACACACCTGCAGCCTCATTCTACCACGACACACCTGGGGTGGCTATGGGGTTGGCACTTGCCTCTGAGGCTTTGGCCTGAAGAGACTTGGTCAGCCGTACACGTCATGTCCACCACCTGTCTGCTGGTTGGTCACACGGTGTTGGCCAGTGTGTTGCTGTGATGCTGGAAGCTATGTCACTGGTATTTCAGATACCAGCAGGGTCCCCCAGAGTGAGCAGGTTTCCCCAGAACTTTCCGACGAAGAACACACTACCAAGGAGGAACATGCGCTCCACTTCTGACGAATTAGTCCCTGAAAACCATAGGGATAGCATGGAAACGTCGTCAGATATGGAAAAATCTCCTGAATCGAAGTAGAACACTGTCAGGGATCGTGCCAGAAGACGAGCCCCTCAGGTGAGGAGGCACTCACATCACGACTCAGGAAGAGCTGGCTTCTCAAAGCCGAGTTGAGCAGAATGAAGTGGGTGGAGGAGGGCCTCTGGGACCCTCGCTGGCTGTTGGGGCAGGATTCAAAATGAGAGGAAACAGCTGAAAACCTCTATTCAAGAACTGGAACGTGGAATGTATGAGTAGGATCTAGGAAAATTGGAAATGATCAGAAATGAAATGGAAAGCCTAAAGATTGGGATCCTGGGCCTTCGCGGGCTGAAATGGACCGGCGCTGGCCTGATTTAGAATCAGACGGTCAAGCTTTACTCCGCTGGGAGTGACAAACTCAAGACTGGAGCCACACTCTCCGCCTAAAAGACGTCTCGTGTGAAGCCCAGGATTGATGAGCCAATAGGGACAGCAAGTAGAATTAGGGTTTGGGGAGAGAGGGGGATAGAGTGGTGGTGGGGTGGGGCCAGGGAGACTATGTCAAGGAGTCCATGTAGAAAAAGACTGTTTGGAGATTGATTGTGGCAGCGATTGTGAGATTCTGTTTGACACGAATGAACTATGGAAGGATATGATCTATGTATTAGACTCTAATTCATAATAAATTTTAAGATAAATAAATAATAAAAAATAAAAGGACATTTCAGGTCTATCTTGAAATACGATGCTGTCTGTGATGGGATCTATCCACATGCAAGGAAATCCAGCCAGTATTATTCAGATGTATGCGCCAGCCACTAAAGCTAATGCTGAAGAAGTCGAAGACGCCTACCCAAGTCTTCACTCTGAAAGGGACCAAACATGCATGATCATTATGCTGATAGGAATGCAAAGGTTGGAAACAAACAGGAAGGAGCAGTAGTTGGAAAAAATGGTCTCATTGATAGCAGTGAAGCTGGAAATTACATGGCAGAATTTTTCAAGAACAATGACTTCTTTATCACAAATATATATATTTTTCTGACCGTACAAAAAGCATCTGTGCACATGGACTTCTGGGTGGAACACACAGAAATCAATTGATCACATCTCTGGGGATAGATGGTGGAGATGCTCAATTTGAACAGCTAAAATAAGGCCAAGGGCCAACCATGGAACGGATCATCAGCTGCTCAGGAAATTAAAATTAGTCCATGAGTACAATAATACGACCTTGAGTGGCTTTTATCTAAATTTTGAGAACACTTCAAGGACAGATTTGACACATTTAACATGGTTGACCTGATGACTGTGGGAGGATGTCAAGAACGTCCTGCACAAAGAAAGCAATCGGTCCTGAACAAGAACAAAAGAAGAGATCAAAGTAGATGCCAGAAGAGATCTGGCTTGGACAAAAGAAAGAAATGATGATATGAAAGAGTTGAACAGAACATGTCATGGGGCAGCTCAAGAAGATAAAGTATTATAATGAAACGTGCAAAACCCCAGAGCTAGAAAACCAGAAAGGAAGAACATGCACAGCAAACTGAAAATCTGAAGAAAAATTCAAGCCTCTGGTCGCAATATTGAAAGATTCTCTGGGCAAAATTTTGAATGATGCAGGGAGCATCCAAGGATGGAAAGAATAGTGTCACTGTATCAAAAAGAATTAGTTGACATCCAGCCATTTCAAGAGGTAGCAATATGATCAAGAACCAATGGTACTGAAGAAAGAAGTCCAAGCTGCACTAAAGGCATTAGCCAAAAACAAGGCTCCCAGAATCGATGGAATACCAACGGAAATGTTTCCAGAAGCTGATGAAGCCCAGGGGCACTCACCCATCTATGCCAAGACATTTGGAAGACAACTGCCTGGTCAACTGACTGAAGACACCCATATTTGTACCCAGGCCACATAAAACTGACCCAAGGATTGCCCAGTTTGTAGAGCAATATCATTGATATCACATGCAAATACAATTTTGCTGAAGATCATCCAACAACGGCTACAACAGTACATCGGCTGGAGTTTCCAGAAAACCAGACTGGATACTGAATTGGATGTGGTACAGGGGATATCAGTGTTGATGTCAGATGGATTGGTCTGAAGGTAGAGAATACCAGAAAAATGTTTTCTTGTGTTTTATTGATCAAGGCATTTTATTTACTTGTGTTTTCATGACCAAGGTATGAGTCAACTGTGGGGATCATGACAAGCTATGGATAGCCTTGAGAAGAATGGGAATCCCCAAATGCTTCATTGTGCTCCCGTGGAACCTGTACATGAATTAAGAGGTAGTTGTACGAACAGAGCAAGGAAATACTACATGGTTTAAAATCAGGAAAGATGCACGTCAGGGTGTGTCCTCTCACCATACTCATTCAATCTGTATGCCGAGCAAACAATCAGAGAAACTGGGCTATATGAAAAAAATTGTGGCAACAGGATTGAAGGAATGCTTATTAACAATTTGCAATACACAGATAACACAACCTTGCTTATGGAAAGTGAGGAGGCTTAGTTGCACTTGCTGATGATGATCAAGGTGTCAGCCTTCAGTGTGGATTATGGCTCCGTGTCAACCAAACAAAATCCTCACTACGGGGCCGGCAGGAAACCTCATGATGAACAGAGAACAGATTGAAGTTGTCCAGGATGTTGTTTGCCTGGGTCCAGAGTTGGTGCTCATGGAAGCAGCTGCCAAGAGACCAAATAACGCAACGTGTTGGGTAAATCTGCACAAGACCTCTTGAGAGTGTTAGAAAGCAGGGATGCCACTTTAAGGACTAAAGTGGACCCAGCACAAACCATACTCTTGTGAAAATTGGACATTGACTAAGAAGGACGGAAGAAGAATCAGTGTATGAATAATGACACTGGTGAAGAATTTTGAAAGTTCCACGAATTGACAAAAGAACCCACAAATTTGCCGTGGAAGAATTACAGCCAACATGCTCCTTAAAAAGTGAGGATGGCCAGACTTCATCTCCAGTACTTTGGACATGTTACTAGGAGAGACCAGTCCCTGGAAAAGGACATCATGCTTGGTCAAGTGGAGGGGCAGCCAAAAAGAGGCAGGCCCTCTTGGAGATGGACAGACACAGTGGTTGCAACCATGGGCTCAAATGTAGCAACGACGGTGAGAATGGCACAGGACCGACCAGGTGGTGTTTCCCTCTGTTGTCTATCGGGTCCCTAGAAGTTGATAGCCCTAAACAACAACGATATACACCATTGTGTTAGACAGGGTTCTCTAGAGAGATAAAACCAAATTCCTGATAATATAATATATTTATTTATAAAGATAATTAGATATATAACAAGAAATGAACTGTTAAATCATATACAGATAAATATACAAGAAATAAACAGTT